CCATGATGCATTGAAGTCTTCCAGCAAACCCTCATAAAGTTGTGTGGACACTAAATCATATAGAGCATGGGGCAGGGAGAACTGTCTGGAGATATTGCCTGGACATAAGGATCTTGGATCAGAGAGATTGTTGGGTCAAAGTGCTGAGCATATGTTCTGCATGCAGGAGTAAAGGTCACTATCCAACACTGCAGGTCCCCTTTAAGCTAAAGGAGTGAAACCCTCACCCCCAGAGTCAGAAATTTCCCTGAAATTTCTGAGAAATGGCCCAAACACACAGAGAAACACATACAGAGAAATGTTGTCTATAAAATCATAAAACACACAGAAGAAAAGTTAGGGGGTATATTCTGGGATTTCAACATTAGGAATACATTCAGACACATCTCCAGTGGGGAGGGAAAAGCAATCAAGAATACACGAATGGTGTGAGTTTCCAAATAAAGGAGTGGAAACACATGTGGGACTCAAGTGTTTGGTGGCCGAGAGCCACCTTTCAGGCTAGATGACAGCAAGAGATGTACAAAGGATTTCGGGAACAGGGGAACTGGGCCCCAGACTTGTCAGTAGCCAGTTTATTTCTCTCTCCTCCCCAGTGTAGTCTGATCTCTTTCCTTACTGCAAAACCATCGTTGTACTTTTACTCGTAGTCCCAGTCATCATAGTTCTGTCATCCTAGTCTCTTCATAGACCTAAAAGTCCTCTACTTCCAGTCATCGTCCTTGGATTCCTTTTCATCCTCCTAGACCCTTCTTTCCCCTTACAGTATAGTAATATAGAAATCATGAAGGATGGGGGTACACATAGGAGGGGTTGAACAATATCAGAACATCAAACAGAGATAAAGCTAGTCATTCAGGGGATGTTCTAGGAGATTAACTCGAGGACAAAATCTCATCTGAGGGTTCAGCACTTCAGATAACTAGGAGCACTCCAGATTACTAGGAGAGCTGTACAAGGGCGGGATTGCATTTAGGGTATATTGCTTTCTCCTTTCCTCAGCTAGTAAGTAATCCATTTAAACAACCATAGTAACTTCTTATAAAATTTCTAGTCATTTTTGTATGAACACAGTAAGAACTATATTAAGCTTAAAGGTTGGATCTTCCTGGGACATCTTGCTATATATTCCAAACCACAGTTCTCAGGCCAGGCTAGTTGATCCTAACTTGAGCAGGGTCCTTATTCAGTAACTTCTTCTTGGGTCATGACAGAGTCTTTTACCTGATGATGCTCTTAACTTATTATACTTCATACACTTAGCCTATCTCTTTCCAATGCCAGGGTAGTTTTCAGCTTACCCTGGGCCCATCCAGTCCCTTCGTCAGGATCCTGCTTTTGGAGAGCTAGGAACCAAGTGAAACTGAGGCTTAAGTCAAGTAAATATGGATGACCAGGAGTAAATATTATTTTGGAGCCAATTAACTTCCATGTTACGAAGCATAGCCATCAACTGTCTTTCTGTGTCTATACAAAATGGACATTGCTAAATAATCCTTGCAAATGGCATGAAGGAAAGAGAAAAGTAATATAGGATTATTGGTGCTTGATGGAATTGGGTATGCCTCAAGGGCACTGTTGTGGGAGCAGCTCAAAAAACCTAAGCTCTCTGCAGGAGGAGCAAGGACACCCAATGTTATCCAATAGAATGGGACAACATAAAACTAAACGCATTTATAAAGAAAAGGAAACTACAATGGAAACAAATAAACAAACAAACAAATAAAAGCAACTGAGCAATAGGCAAAAGCTCTTTGATCATCATGCCTAACGAAGGATTAATACCCAGAATATATTAACTCATATAACCAAAAAACAGAAAAAAATACAGTAAAAATTATTCAAAAGACATAAACAGACACTTCCTCAAAGATGGCGCACAGACACATTTAAAAATTCAAAATTACTTATAGCTACGGAAATGGCTCATAGTTGGGAAAGTGGTTCAAGAAGAAATGATTGTTGGCAAGGATGTGGAGAAAAGGGCTCTGGTACTGGGAATGAAATTAGTGTAGTTGCTAGGGATAATGATATGCAGTCCTTAAAAAATTAATACAGAAACTCCATATGATTCTAAACTACCACTACTAATTAGTTATCCAAAGACAATTAACAGATTTTGCTCAAATGTAAAAGTGATTTCCTAAGGCAAGCAATAACGAAGAAATGACAACTCTACCTTGCAGACCCAGTGAAAACAAAGAAGTTTCTAGAGAGAAAGGAGAAGGGGAGAGGAAGTAATGGGCAGAAGGATGTTTGTGATGGCAGGCTGGCATGGGAGCACTGGAGGTGAGGCCACCTGGTCACAGCTAAGCCCATAAAAGTCAGAAGCTGATTGTCTGAAATTCTATAGGCTGACTAATGATAAGTCTGTGGCATGGTCCTGGACCTCAAGACAAACGCAGCATAAGCTTGTATGACTGAGTGAGAGTATGAGTGTGTCTGCGAGCATGTGTGTGTGTTTGTGTGTGTGTGTGTGTGTTTGTGTGTGTGTGTGTGTGTGCGTGCATGTGCATGTATAGTTGGGGGCTGGTTACGAGGAAGGAAGTGTTCCTGCCACTGATTCAGGCAAGAATCTGGAATGCTTTTGTACCCCATTTCCAGATGATATGATCTGTCTGAAATGCCTGTAGCACTTTTGAAGAGAAGCAGTGTACCAAATAATGACTTTAGAAATAAAGGCAATTGGGCAGCTGGAGCAATAGCACAGCAGGTAAAGTGTTTGTCTTGCATGCATCCGACCCACGTTTGATTCACAGCATCCCATATGGTCCCCTGAGCATCCCCAGAAATAATTCCTGAGTGCCGAGCCAGTAGCAACCCCCTGAGCATTGCTGGGTGAGACCAAAAGAGAAAAAGACAGAGAGACAGACAGAAAAAAAGAAAGATAAATATAAAGATATCACGGTCCACGGTGCTCCGGTTGTTCATCGATTTTCTCGAGCGGGCCCAGTAACGCCTTCATTGTGAAACTTGTTACTGTGTTTGGCATATCGAATACATCACAGGAAGCTTGCCAGGCTTTGCCATGTGGGCAAGATACTTTCGGTAGCTTGTCCGGCTCTCTGAGAGGGGCAGAGTAATCGAACTCGGGTCGGCCATATTGGCTGTGTGCAAGGCAAACGCCCTACCCGCTGTGCTATTGCTTCAGCCCATAAAGATATAAAGATATAAAAATATAAAGTTAAAGATACAATTCAAAATAATGGTGGCGGGAAGGTACATGGTGGTGGGATTGGTGTTGAAATATTTAATGTAATAAATTATTGTGAACAACTTTATAAATATAAAAAATTGAAAATATAAATCAATATTTCCTTTTCCCTAATCATTACGCATCAATATTTCACTAATGTATAAACACACTTCTCTGAACAAGTTCAAGTTTACGCAAATTTTTATACTTCTCCTCATTTTACTGAAAACCTCCACAAAGTTTTGCCCTGTATTCACCCTATTACTCCATTCACCTGACAAATCCAAGATGCAGATAGGAGACACAGGTAAGGAGAAGAACAAAACTTAGGTGATGGGACTGAGATGATTTTAGGTCATCATCGTTCTTCCCCGAGGTTCTCCAAGAGCTTTTTTCTTACTTTTACATGTTCCTTCTATGGCCATGGAAAAATTAAGGTATTTCACAGTAGAAAGAGGAATACTCAGACAAATTGAGTTGATAAAGTCATGTCTGATCTATATCAAATTGAAATACTAGAACCAAGGGGATAGAAGAGAACAGATGTGTGAAATACATGCTTCTCCCAAAATCGTTGCTAGTTATATCTCTGGCATGACATGTTCCTTGAGCATCAAGATAAAGCCCTACAGGCCCTTGAGCACAACCAGATGTGGCCTAGAGGTTTCGCCCAGTTTTCACTGAGGTGGCCTGGTTAACTCTGTCACTGCAGAACCTAACAACACTGTATCCTCAAACTGAGAAGGTGGGCCGTACATCACTGAGAGGAGTTCTCAGGTCACCTAAACAGCATTTTTGAGAAACCCTACATCAATTCACTTATTAGTTAAGATTTTACACCCAAGACAGAGAAACTTTGATTTCCAGATTCCTGACTCCCAAAAGCAAAGGACCCAGAATTTCAGTGTCTTCGACCTGAGTAACTTGAAGCTTTCAGAAGGAGACATTTTTCACAAGAGGAACGAGAAGAGTCCAATTCTCAGGAAATAAGGCACAGAGGCACAAGGTGAATAGGCCTCCACATTAACTAGAGATTTTGATGAGCTAGAATCCTAGTCCCTGTCTCCCATCCACACCCACACCATAACCACTCACTGACCTCAGAGAGCTTTCCATAGGCATTTATCAAACAAGATGTGCCAAGAAGCAGCTCCATGCCAGGGGTTGGAAGGCATACAGGGATGATATAGGAGCTGAAGTTCACAGGTTGGTGCAGTTGTAACACCGCTGCAAAATGGTGGAGCTTCTAAAAGTCTGGATGGATGATAATGCAGTTCACAGCCACCCTCCTGGCCTACTGGGTGTCCTGGTAGAGCTGGGTACTTCCGCAACACACCCAGTAATCCTCAGGGGCCTGAGACTTCCTGCAGGAGGGAAGGTGACAGTCATCATCTTCTGCAGATGGCAGCTTGTGCCTCTCCACCATCATCTGACCCCCAGCACTGCCTTGTCTGCACCACCGCACAGAACCCTCTCTTTCTGTCAGACCTTCTCTCTCGCAATCAGGGCGGTTTAATCACAACTCAGCACACACCCACTATTGGAAAGGATCACGGAGGGCTTCAGGTCCCATGGGCCTGGACAATCCTGACCTACCTTGGGCACATGCAGAGCGCCCTGGCTCCATCTTGCCTCTTGACCCTCCTTATGACCAAACTGCTCTTGAACCACTCCTTTTTCTCACTCCTTGGTACTCACCTGTTGTGAAACTGCACAAAATCATTGGTCAAAGGAGACCATGCGTGCAGGATGTCCTGTGTTCTGACCATGAGGGACGAAACATTCCACCTTTCCACTCACTCACCTGGAAATTCCTCCCCACACAGCCGGTAACCAAACTCTCGCATCCACAAATTGATTCATGCACACTGGAGCCTGCCCATCTGAGTTCTCCACTCCAATGGTGTCAGCCCTTCTGACCCACAGGGGGAACTTCTGCTCTGACTAAATGGAGACACAGTGAGGTGGGTCAAGCCAACCTAATGCACAGTGGGACTCCAGTGGGACACAGCACAAAGCAGATGCTTGTGGTCCTCTGTATGTACCAAAGATCCAACTCCTGGTTACTGCCACTCCCAAACCACTGGGAACACCCAACCGAACCCAGTACAGAGATCAGCTCTGTTCTTCTTCAAGGTCAGGTACTCCATATCTAGTGTCCATGCAGCTGACCAATAGACATGTGAGCAGAGACCCCAGGCCAGAGACCTACAGAACAACAGCATCTGCCACTGCATCCCAGGTTCCAGCCTCCCTCTGACAACCAGGATTGCAGGGACATTGAGAGAAGCCGTGGTGTGAGGTGACACAGAGCCAGCTGACATTGCTCCTGGGAGGCAGGATGAACACTGCCATCTCGGGGGCAGACCTGTGTCAGGGAAAGGCACAGGGATGAGGATAGAAGATGAGCAAAATCAGGTGAGGAGAGAGGACAATACAGGAGAGGACAGGTCACAGGCAAAAAAACTTGGACTAGAAGGACACAGATTGTCCCAGCACACAGTCTTGAGGATGCAGGGGCTCTAAACTTTTAACCCTCTCCCCCTGCAAGCCCGGCTGCTAGGACCTGAGAAACAACTCACTTTGTAAAGCAGTGGGTGGTAGAGAACACCCAGTGGGAATGAATGAGCACAGCTCCACAGGGATGAATGCTCTGGTACTGCAGGCTGCCCTGCCATGGCCACTGGCCTTCCACGGCCTCGTGGCCACCAGAGATCATCCATACCCCCTGGGCTTCCTGCATACTGTGATGACCAGCCCGATGCCATGTGGTAAACAGGACGTCCCCGTTTCCTCTCTGGTAGAGCCTTGACCACTTCTCAGTGGGAAAGCAGAAGCAGCGGTCAACCAGTTCCAGAGTGACAGGGTAGCTTGTTGTCTGATATTCCTGTCTGAAGCCTGGGCAGCAGGAACATGGACAGCAGAGCACACAGTGAGCAAGCCCCGTGGAATGCGAGGAAGGGATGTGGTGGCCACAGATGGTCACAGCTGCATCCCGGAGACCCCATGCCCGCAGCACCCCCCCACCCCCACCCCTGGCCCAGACACTAGCTTTGTGTGCGGGGCTGTACTAGTGTCCTGCCTCCACCTCCCCGCTGTCTCCGCAAGGGGCAGTGGGCCATGTGACCTGGACAGGGTGGGCCGGGTGCCCCAACCGTGTGGACGCTGTGGCCAGCTGCCCGCTCAAAGACTGGGGAACACAGAGAGGAAAAAAGAGGAGACTGATGGGCCAGTCTACCGCGGCTGTTCCCCGCCCACAGGCCATCTGCTCACCTCAGACCAGGGTGCCCCAAGCACCTGCTGAGCCGAGGGCTGAGGGGCTGGAACTCCTGCAGGGGCTTCCAGTTTCCATGCCCATGGCCAGAGTGGCTTCAGCCCTGACTGCACCCCTCTGACCTCTGAACCCTAAAATATGACCTCTCTAATCCCATCTTCCCCATTGGACACAGGTCTCTCATGAGCCCTCCTTGACTTTGGACCTGCCCTTGTGCTATCCCTGTCCTGACCCCTCCCTGTCCCCACCCTAACCCCCTCTGACCCCAGCTCTCACACCCTACCTTAGCTGCACTCTGACCTGCTCAGGCCTTGGAGAGTTGGAGCAGGGTCCACAGAGGATCTGAGTGCTTCTACTCCCTCAAGAGAGGGACTAGGAACTCCACTTGGCTTTTGGAAGAGATTTGGGCTGGAGAGGTCTACATCAGAGTTTAGTAAGGGCCGATGGCGCAGCTGGAGCTGGGGGAGTGAATTCGTCCTTAGATGAGAATGTTGGAGCAGAACGGGAGACCCAAGGAGCCAGCAGAGAGGAGGGACTCAGGAAGGCAGGATTGTATGGCGCATGCTTAAACCCAGGAAGGGCAAGCCACACCACTAGATAAGGGATACGCTTCTTAGCTTGTTACAGAGATATAATTCATGTCATGAAATTCACCCATTAGAAGGGACAATTCCAAAATTTTCAGTATAATTTGGAATTTTTCAGTAATGACTTTCATTGGAAATAATCTGAAAGATCCTCAGGGAGTGAATCATCAGGGAAAATAGTAGAATCCATTGTACCAAATGCTAAAATCCAAGATAAGAAACATTGATTCTATAACTGCATGTCAAGTGGATTTTGCTTAGTCATTTAGTGAGTAGTCATTTCTATAACATTTCATTTTCATAGCATGTATAGTCCCGTTTGGATAATATCATTCTCAATAAGACGAAGTTGTAAAGATGGAAAACTGTAGCGTGGTGACCACTTGCCATGAAAACCATCTTACTCCAAATATGAGTTTTAAATGTTGATGAAGTTCAGTTTATTCATTTTTAAGCTGATTAATTTTGTGTTTTCTATCATAGCTAAGAATTTTACTTTTGCACCTTTGTCAAAACCAATTTTGTATTTCTCTTTATGTGTCTGGGATTGGTGGAAATTTCTTATGAATTGCTAAGTCTGGAAATTAGATTCTTTCTCCTGCTTTTCTTGGCTTACTGTAGTAATTTTTTCCTCCCCTTTTGAAATCTACAATAATATATATGCTGATTTGGAGAGTTTTCCAATTTGTTCTTGATTTTCTGTCGCAAAGCTTCTTCCTTGTCGTGAGTGGTCAGTGATGTTTCAGTTCTTTACTTCATGTCCTCCCTGTGTCCATCTGAGCTCTCAGATCCCTGAGACCCATTATCACACTAGTGAACAAGACACAAGAAAATGAAATTCACATTTCCTTCTGCTGTGAAATGTCTCTTCTGTCAGACGAATCTACAGGTGAGATCAGAGGCAGCTGAAGACCCTGTCTTTCATCTTCTGTGCCGAAACCTATGTTAAAATGCAAAGAAGTGGGGCTGGAGCAATAGTACAGTGGCAAGGGCATTTGCATTACACCTGGCTGACCCGGGTTCTATTCCCAGCATCCCATATGGTTCCCTGAGCACCACTAGGAGTAATTCCTCAGTGTATAAACCAGGAGTAAACCCTGTGCATCGCTGGGTATGACCCCAAAAGAAAAGAAGTAAAAAAAGGAAAGAAAGGCCAGAGCTAGGTACTGGGGTAAAGGCACTCACTTGCATCTGACTAAATCCTGCTTTGATGCAGTAAACATTGATGGTCCTCTGAGCAATGCCAGGAATGACTTCTGAACCCAGAGTAGGCCCTGAGCACCTTTAGGTATGTTCCAAAAACAAAAAGGGACAAGAAAAAAAATTTAAAAAATAAAGAGAGAATATCTCAGAAATCTACAATCAAAGGCCCTTACTTTGTCATTTATGAGTTTCTAGAAAAAGAAGCATGCATGAGATAATAATTTCTTTCTGCCATCACATCCACCAGGCTCTGTAGGAAGGAGATTCAAATAATATGGGCTCTTATGTCATTTAAATTTTTGTTTATTTACGATCAGGTTTTTATCATTTCCTTCTGCTAATTTTTTTATTTATCCATCTCCATAGTGTTCACATGTGAGCTCAAATTGATTTTTTGAGACTTTCTTACTTATTCCTCTCTTTTTTGAAAGGTAGGCCTGTATTTCTTTGATCTTCCTTCATTCCCATCACTTTCTTTGCCTCATACCTTAGTTTTTTTTGCAGTGTCTCTTGTTAATATTCATATATCTTATTTATTTCCTCACTGTTTTAAAAGTTTTTCAGAAGAATCTTGTTCTGCGTCTGTATAGTGTGATTCTTACTGTTTGCTTTGGATTTATTTTTTTTTCCTTCGTCACTTTGTAGTGGGAAAAGATGCTTAATTTCATTTAAATATTTTTGATACTTTTGTAGAGGTCTGTGATTGATTTGAACTGGACATCGTTCCACATGCACTGAGAAGAATGTGAGTGCTTCCTCACAGGTTCATTCTTTTGAAGCCTGCAAGCTTGTGATTTCTCAATCGCCTCTTCTTCCAAAACAAGCAGGTGATGCTGTGCCGTTACTTCTGAGTTTCTTTGGGGTCCTTTTTGGAAGAGGGGAAAGGCAGGCCAGAGACAGCTTCCCTTAGCCACCCACAGCCCTGGGTAGGGAAGGCAAACCTGAGCACAGAGTTCGCAGTTCTTCCAATCTCAGCCCATGTCTATGGTGTTGGTGGACAGCATCTGGGTTTCCCTCTGACCTAAGACTCTGAATCCCCAGGGAAGAGGGAAGGGCAGTGGGGGAAAGAACACACCTGTCACAGCAAAGTGTCCAGAGCCAAGGGGCTGTGTACAATGTCCAGTCTTGCTAGTTGGCACAAACCTAGCCTTTCTCTGTGGAGTTTGCTAGGGGTGGGGGGTGAAGCTCTACCTCTCCAGTCAGGTCAGCTGACAGCTATGGCTCCACTCACGGGGCTCCATCAACTCCATGTGCCTCTCCCTCCTCCCCTTCAGAAAAACAGGTATGTGGTCCTCAGGCATCCTCAGATGATGAACCACTGACTATGGTGATAGAATGATGGACCCTTCTGGCACTACTTTAAGGGTGATGTTTGGCGGAAGCTGCTCATATCCCATGATGATGAAATCATATTTGTTCTTTGATCCTCTCAATGCTACAGTTATTCTTTCCTTTTTAAATGCAGAAAAAGTTTGTTAAGCATTAAGGAGTTGTTACTTACATAGTTATTCATAGCTGACTTTGAGGTATACAATGTTCCAATACAATCTGACCCCTTGTATTGACCTCTCTTCACCAGTTTCCCAAAGCTTCCTCCCACCCCCCAGCCTGTCTCCTTGACAGGTATATTTTGTTATTACCATTATATTTAATGTAGGAGTACTGCTATTTATTCAGCCATTGATTAAGCTGATTGAATTGGCATGAACTCCACATTACTTTTTAAAATTTTTTTCATTGAATGTCCATGAGATGTACGAATACAAAGCTCTTCATAGTTGGGTTTTAGTCATATCATGATCCAGCACATGACTATTCTCTACCAGTGTACATTTGCCACCACCAGTGTCCCCTGTTTCCTTCCCACCATCCCCCAACGC